CAGGTACGGCCTGGGAAACAGCAGTTATGAGATGAACGTCCCCAGGGACGAAGAGGAGGGGAGGGGGAGGACGGGCCGGGGGGATGGGAGCAGGAATCCGTTCGAGGATGATGCGGAGGCGAGCAATATCAGCATCAGGGGCGTGAGCCCCAGGCCGATGGATGGGCCTGGGCCCGCGCAGGCGAAGGGGAGGCGGTCGGAGGATACGGATAGGAGGTCAGCGTTTAGGGAGGAGATGTAGGGGAGCTATGGGCAGTTCGGTTCGCCCGGGCCCTCGAGGTTACGAACGTGCTACTGGTGTCGTTGGAGGAGGTGTTTGTGGTTTCATCTTTACCTTCACATTTGCCTTTGCGGGCTCCATTTGACTCGGAAGCCCCGGGATAGGTGCTTTGGGGTAGTAGGCAGTTCCCAGAGCGGAGATTTGGAACGGGCAAGGGAGCAGCATGTATGATTTGGAGCAACGGAAGGCTGGCTTATGTGTTTTTATTGTTTTTATGGCCTTTGAATTTTCTCCTGGGGGTATATTTGGGAGGGGGCTACGAGGTTATGCTTGCCGTATGGGTGGTTTTTTTTCTTCTATGTTTCAAAAGTGATTCTATCTACTCTCATCACTCCCTCCTCCACATGAGTGAGCCACCAGCTTTGGCTACGCGGACACGTGTGCAGGTCCGGTTTCTCGGTAGGTTCTAGGCGGCGTCCTTTAATTGATCCCCAAAACTATCCCACTACGCCCCATTATTACGTCAAGGTCCGGACAAGCTACTACCCCGCCCCCGCATCAGCACCAACATTAAGGGCTTGGTCTTACATCCCAAACCAAACTTTTGATCCCCGACTACTCCTCCCTGCTCGACACAGCACATCTAGGCTTCAATTGAGTCTCCCATACCGGCATATTAGAACCTCCAGCTACTTCTCCTCACAACCATGGCAGATCTCGATCTCAAGGCCATCCGCGACACCCTCGTTCAGCTCGCTCGACGAGCGGGCGGGATGATCATGGACTCGAACTACAACCAAAACTTTGCTACTGATACCAAGTTGAATTGTAAGCCCCGAGAACGCCTTTTCTCAACACCTTCCAAGGTCCCGCTTGCATATCCTCCGGCCAGCTCCCAGACCCCTCTAACACACTCTCTCTTCCCCCGGCAGCCGTCGACATCGTCACCGAAACCGACAAGGCGGTCGAAGAAATGATATCCACCTCCCTCAGAGAGGCCTACCCCACCTTCTCCTTCATGGGCGAGGAAACCTGGAAGCCCGGCGTGAAGATCGGGCCCGAGCCCACTTTCGTCGTCGACCCCATAGACGGGACGACGAACTTCATCCACGGCTTCCCGCACGCCTGCGTCTCGCTCGGCCTCGCCGTCGACCGGGTCCCCACCGTCGGCGTCATCTACAACCCCTTCCTCGACATCCTCTACAGCGGCATCAAGGGCGGCGGCGCGACGATGACCACCCGAGCCGGCGGCGCCGCGATCGAGAAGCGGCTCCCGCTCCGGCGGGACCCGGCGCCCCTGTCGGGCCTGGGCTCCGCGCTGCTGGGGGTGGAGTGGGGTTCGGACCGGCAGGGGACGAACTTCGAGCTCAAGGCCGAGACGTACCGGAAGCTGACGGCGAGCAAGGAGACGGGGGGCAGGATGGTGCACTCGCTGAGGTCTCTGGGGTCTGCGGCGCTGAACCTCGCGGCTGTGGCGGCTGGACAGATGGATATGTACTGGGAGGGGGGCTGTTACGCGTGGGACGTGTGCGCCGGGTGGTGTATCCTCGTAGAGGCGGGGGGTATCATGGCGGGCGGGAACCCGGGGGTCTGGGAGCCGGAGCTGGACGGGAGGAAGTATCTTGCCGTTAGGGGCGCGCCAGCGGGACAGAAGGAGATTGTACAGGAGTTCTGGGACGTCATTGGGGAGGGGAAGCTGGAATATCAGCAGTAGGACGTAGGGGGACTACAGGGGGGGGGCTTTCAAGTTTCTGGACATTGAATGGAGAGCGACAGGGAAAGAGTACGAAAATGCATGAAGAGTGAAGGGCTGTTATGAACTTGGGAAATCTAAACTAGATCATAAGCGCACCATATGGAAGAAGAATATGGGATCGAGGGCACCTCCCAGGCCCCCCACCCTAGAGAAGGCCGCTTAATTGGCCAGAACAGGCACTTTCACAGCTACCCTCAGCTGTTGACACCGTGAACCCACCCTCGCCCAACACCCTCCATAGGCGGGGCTTGTCCGTTCCCGGTGCAGCGGTTCCCGTGCCAATGGGAGACTGTGAGTCGTCGGCTTGAGCTTGTTCGCGTGGGCAAACCATGTCTCTGGCTTATGTCCGATGTAGCTAAATGTCACGTCACTGGCGGCGGCCTTGATGAGTGTCCGAAGGCTCGTTGTGCAAGAGTCTCGTTACAGTCAGTCCCTATACCCTAAGGGCTGAGGCGAGATACCTCTCTCGCTGCTCCCATCCGCAGTCCATATGGGGTGAAGTGGACGAGGATGCCACATACATTGGGGGCCAATTGTATAGACAATCCAACAAAAGCCCACCTGCCAGGCTCTCCGAGATTCAGTCCTGCGCCGTCTTATTTGTGACAGAAATGACGGGATACTTCGGCTGGCTTCACACGACCCTGTTTCTTGGGCGGCGGAGTGCATTCTCCTTCAGCTCGTCCCAGCCTCTCTTCTTGACTGCACCTGTTCGCAATGTAGGAATCAGGGCGAGTTTGATCGGGCAAATGGTGCTCAACTCAGGATTCGTGAGCTCAGTGAGATCCACTACCCTGTTCTGGGTGGACTCTACCCTAAAGTAAGTAATCCGGTATACTAAGACCAGGCTAGGGAGGGAGAGGGAGATGTATGTTGACTTACTTGCGATTCCTCTCATACCTAATTTCAACCCAAGCACAGATGACGCCTGTACTAGGCAAATCGTTATGGCCAAGTCTTCCTATTTCATACTACTCATCTCCCTTGTAACTGGAGTATTGGACGATATCGCCAGAGCGGCTTGCGAGTGCGGACATTAGGCAGATGACTAGTCTCCTTTGCGTAGCAGCATCCCAGCTGTGGGTGCCATTCTCAACATGATGTTTTGACGATGCTGTTGTTGAAACATTCCACCATGTCCAATAATGTCCCAATTGCACGGGCCGTTCTCAATGGCGTCTTTGAGAAAGAATACTGTGGTTAACGCGCTCAACCATATCCAGTTGGATCCCTTACAAGCCTTTCTGTTTTGGACAAGAGACTAGACACACAATGAGATGTATTGCCCTCGTATGCATCCCGAAGTGTATAGGATATAGAGTTGAGCTTCTCAAAGTGAGTTGGCATAGCTTGGCTTGTATCGCTCGATGAGCTTGGCACAGATGGCCGATACTGGGGCAGTTCGAAGCAGCCTCCTGTCTGCCTCGGACAAAATATGTATATGCCAGGCCATAGCGATACCCTGGAGGCACACATCCCACGTCTCCACCACCGGGGCATCGCCATGGATAGCGGCATTCTCGTCTCGTACTCGCGTTCGTGTGACCAGTCCCTGCGCTACCAGCTCCTGGTATACCGACTCTGTCGACCAGGTGAGATAGAAGCAACATTTACATACTTTCCCGTTTCGAGTGTCGACGTACTCATTTGAACGTTTCGAACTCATGCCACCACCGCCGTGCAATGCGAGCAACTGCCTTGTAGATGGTAGGAACTGACACAATATCTGTCCCTGTGGACCTTGCTCGGATGTGATTCGGCATGTCGACAGTGTACTCGATCGCATGAAGAATCTGGGGTTTTTTACGAAGGGGTTCACGAAGGCAGGCGAGTCAACGAGGGCGAGATCAGTGAAGCCAACTTGATGGAGCGAGGCCGACGACGAGTGAAGATTTGACGAGGCCTTAGGCTCTACTCCTACTGAGGGCATTCATTTCCTCTTGCGGCGTAAAAGAATTACACACACACATATATACATGAGTGAAGATTTTACATCCAGGGTGACATGATTGATGAAGCTGGGGGAGGGGAGAAGGGATTTCTCTGGAATCGTGAAAGGAGCGATCTCAACGCCATCGATAAGGAGTCGCCACAGGAGGTGTACGACTAGTTTGTTGGTGTATGCTAATAGTTATCTAGGTATTTTTTTTTTCGTTTGGCTCTTTCCCTCCCTTGGGAAGAGCATGATACCACCGAAAATACAAATGGGGTGAAAATAGAGAAGGAGCTGCAAGAAGGGTCTGAGCACTATTGCAAGGCCCCAAAACGCTAGTACGTTAGAAGGATGTATCAACTTAAGCGAGGTGTCGCAAACCCCTGTAAAATTAGGCTTGCCAGCTGACAGGAGAATTGCTCCTGTACATGCATCTCACGTATATAAGGGATGCACTTATTCCACCTAGTTATCATGAATATGAAGGACAAGGTGGTCCCGTATTCCCACAGGAGCATCCCCTGTCGATAAGGGTCACAATTGTAGTATACCGCAACCAGATAACAAGCTCCAGCAGTATATAAGTATCATTCTACCCTGCTACCGAATACTCTCTTTCCTCCTTTTCGAAGCATGGCCTCCGAGACCTTGTGGCAGGCGCCACAAGATGAAGAAGAAGTCGAAGGAGCTCCCTCTGCCAATGAGGCCATTATCGTGGTGTACTGCAAGTGATATTCCCTCGGTGTCACTCTCCTCTCCTTCAGGGAATGTATTGACCCCCTTGCGGTGAGCTCTCTTTGTCTTGTAGCAGTAGAGCGAGGGAATATATACCTTAGTGTGGAGAGCTCGCAACATTCTCCCGAGGACCTGCAAGTTATTGGGAGACCTTGTAAGTTCTGAAGAATGCTTGCAAGTTTAGTGATCGGGCTTGTAAGCAGTTAAGCAGCCTGTCGTAATATCCTGCCCCAGGTGGGCGCTGGACTATGGTGGACTCGGCAGTTGAGACCGTGTTGGGGAGATTCCGCTTGAGACGGATCTAGACCCCATTGAGGCCGCAACTGGCATCCGCTCAGCAGCAATAAAGAACATACGCCTTGATGGTCTAGTGGTATGATTGTCGCTTCGGGTAACCCCCTATCACGGGAACGTGGTTGTGACAGGTCCCGGGTTCAAATCCCGGTTGAGGCCCTCATTTTTTGCCTTTTTTATTTCGCCTGTTCATTTATTCGGTTATTATTATTTCGTTTCTCTTTCGCAGGGGAACCGTTTAGTTCTTTTCTTACTTCCCTTGCACGATCAGTCCTCGATTGGCATTGTCGCAGCGCACTGACCGGGCTCAACGTGTAAGTCGCTTGGAGATGCTAATACTCATGAGGAGGACCTTGATGGCAAGACCATAGCTTAGCGTGATTGTCTAGCCCTTTCTCGGTCTCAGCCGTTAAACGTCCTCCTGATTGTCATTCTGTATCCTTGCGTCGAACCTGGACGTCATCCCATTAGCAATCTCGAGCTATACGGCCCTGGTTGGGCTTTTGTATTGTATTGTATGTGTAACCAACTGCGTTACTGTAACAAGACATCCATTCGCGGTGCAACATCTTCCACAGGGGGATCGATAACCTTTCCCCCCTCTTGGTTCGGGCTACTTAGCTATTTCTCCCGAACGCATTTGACATCCTCTCTTCCCCAAACGACGTCCCCACTTGAGCGGCCCCGTCTGGACTAGGACTCACAGCCAAACCCGCCATCTTTCTTGGTCTAGTGGTAAGGATACCTGCCTGTCATACAGACAGTGCGTGTTCGCAGGTGGCCGGGGTTCGATTCCCCGAGAGAGAGTTTATCGGGATCTACATTCTCTTTTTATTCAACCCCTCGCACTACCAGTACGTCCATGTGGACAAATGAGAGGAGAGGGTAGGAGATGGGCAAGTTTGGTCCGGGGCATGGGAGTGATACTTGTTTCGTTCCCCAGTACGGATGAGGAAGGGCTGGTTTACACACAATTCCATGTTTCTATCAAAAGGTAATGATACTCGTCCACCCGTATGCGGCGATCCAGAACGACTTCGAGAAACCAGGGAAATACTACTAGTCAACGCCGGTCTTGTTCTGTAACTAGTCGATATCGGTCAATCACGCCTTGACGCGCCATCGGCCCTTCCATGATGTGAGATAGCTAAACTGCCAGCAGTCATCAGATAGGTTCCCAACCCGTGTCTCGGAGGATTGTAGCCAAACACGAAGATAAAATAAAAAGGGTGGAAAACAATGTTTGGCGCACGTCACTCTTCCTAGGGCCACACCAACTCAGACGCATGTCGTGACGACCTGCATGCCACCCCCTCTCCACCCTGCCTCCGGGAGACCCATATCCCGCATATATCCGCCCCTACATACCTACCCGGCCAAGGAGGCGGCCTAAGCCTGGGCTAAATATTACACGAAAGCCATTTGGGACGGAGGAGAAAGAGGGGGGCAATCATTATCTAGATGGGGGTACAAGGGAAGGCGGTGCTTGGGGGTGGGGTAGGATTGGGGGTTGGATGGGGGGATATGCCGGTCTTGCGTGCTTGGAATAATATTCTTCGTCCCGCGGTAAGAAGTAGGTATTTACGTCACAACCTTATCCAGAGGAGGGCAGTCATGATTTAAGCGGGGTATAGAAAAGACAGCGCCGAGGGGAAGAACGGGTGTCGATCTTGCGTGTTTGTAATGTGTTTGCTCGCGTCCAAATCCCGAGGAGGTAGATGACCAGAGTTGAAAAGTCCACCCCAAGAACCTCCCAGTCCGGGATGGACCAGGGATGGGATGAACCGCGTCCACGAGTACGAGTAGTTGGACAGCTGTCAGAAGGGAGGGGCAAGTTGCGGTCAAGCCCGCCCCCAAGACGGGAGAGTTATGCCCACAAATTCCGTCGCGAAGAGCACCACCAGGCTCCCGCCCGGGCATTGGCCGAGAACGGAGGTTCGGCTCATTAAATTTCATGGGTTATCCGCACAGGCAGGAACTGCCGCGATTAATATTCGACACCTTGGCGACGGTGCTATTTACATATCGGGGCGCTAAAAGCAGGCCCGAGCTCCATGCGCAAGTCAAGCACGAGACGAAACAATTTTCAGCAAGGTCAATGGTGGGTCTGGGCGGCCGTTAGAGGGGTGTCGGTCGCTCTTGGAGGGCGTCTGTTTAAAATAGCTGGACATGGTAGGGCCGGATCGCGCACTAGCGCTTCGGTTACTGGTAGAGGGGCCTGGCGAATCAGAGGAGGCGAGTCGGCGATATTAGGGTATGAATTGGGGTGGGTTCTCCCGGCGCGACAGGGAGCTCCATGCCTCCAACTCAAGGTGGCCTACTAGTTGTACTCGAGCGAGCAGTGTATTATATTGAACACTGAGAGCGTGGAGTCAGGACCGGAGCCTTCAATCTTTCGATGACAGTATTATGCTGGATGATTCGTGTCGCGGAGGTCCATGTAAGTGAAAGATTGGGGTTGAACTGGGCCAACCAACTTTCTTTACTTGTAGAATTTTAGTATGGTGCCGTCCGGGGAGGATGGAAAACATCCCCGGCAACCTCGCGTGCGAGCAGGCTAGGACGTCGATCAATTGCTGCTGCAGAGCATTTCGGACGCACATTAGATGGTCGAACAGCATGAGCGCGTGCGACGCGTGCCATGGCCCCGGGAGACCGGCACACTTGACTTGTGCTCGTACGATAGGTTAGGATCATGGACGGACCAAACGACGGCCATGGCAGACCGGTAGGATTTTCGGACCGACGAAATATAGAGGAGGTGTTGTGGACATTAGCGTACTCGTACGCATAATGCTTGTCCAGGCGCAGGATGGAATGTGCGCCCGCCGGGGAGGGAGCTAGTATGGGTACTTGTTTGCACACGGGACGGGTTCATGCAAACCTTTTTGCATGCAACGTAGTTGGCGATGCGGTGAAGGGCCCGGTGGAGGCCACGGCAGAGTGTGCTCGGGGCTGTACGCCACTGCAGCTTGTCATTGTGGGGCAAGCCGAGACTGATCGTTAAGGGTTTTGATGGCACGAGTACTTACACATATAACGGTACGAAGTACGTAATGTCCTGCACCACTAATAAATCGTCCGGCGCGTAATATCAAGACAGTTCTTTCCCGATGGCTGTCTCACAAATCCCTGTTTTCATCAAGTCTATCCGGGCTACGGGGACCGTTTGCAACGATCCTCCGTATGCGTACACTCAAGCTTCGCCACTGCGCGATCTGATGACCTCCTGAGCCTGGGATGGAGGGGCAACACGAAGTTAAGAACCGAGGCGTCTTGGGCGATGGCGCAGGAGGCAAAGGGTATTCTCACCAGGGAAGACGATTTTCGGGGGAATCGCAAGAGGAGAAGCGGAGGTGCCGAGATTATCGACGTACGAGTACTCCGTGCTCCAGGCCACTGTGTGGCAATGACAAGTAGTCCTCATGCTTTTGCCTGGGAAACCAGTAAAGGTGGCAAAGCCCGAAATCTAATGCCCCGATATTAGGACCTCAGAACCTATTGACCACCCCTCCTTATCACTTAGAGCCCCGGTAGAAGCATTGAGCCACGAATCAACTTTTTCCTATTGGACGACGCGGATTAAACCTTCTCACGGACAGACTCCAAGTTGCACACCCACCCACGATTAACACCGTTCCTTCCCCATCCATCTGCATTAGGCCGGCTTGGCCGTATTCTCCAAGTCTTCTCCACTATCGGTGAACCCCCGGGGGGATAATATCACCGAGGATCGCAACTTTCCTGCCTCGTACTCCGTGCTTGTAAGTGTGACATAGGCTTGCGCCGATTCCAAGGCCACCACACTTAGACACACCCGTCGCTACGAGTACGGCTGGTCAGTTGCGGGATAGTAGAACGCGATAGCATATCTCCTCGATAAAGGCATACAAGGTGGAAACTAGCCTTCCGTCCTATTATATACACACCCGCACCTTCCCTCTCATCACCTCTGGCCTTCCCTCGCTCCTTCTGTAGACTACATATTTACTTCCATAGTTATGCAAATCATTGTTGTCTTGTTTCACTGCAAGTGAATCGTATCATCAGTCACTGACGCCGCCGATTTGTACTCCTAGCCTTCCTACTTCTCAACGACAGTCCCCGGACCTTTGTCCGGTCGGGTTGGAGACCGAAGAGACAAGACTTTCAAGTTGATTGACAGCTCAATCACTCTTGTTCGTGTCTGCGTCTACTGTAAGACTACTACCAGGACGAAGAACAATGACTCTAACCAAGCAGAGAAGCCCTCGCAACCCTAACGACTTTCCCACCGGCCAGCTCTTTCTTCTTGGTAAGTCTCCTCCGGCGCTCGCACCAAGTCATCCGGTCGATTCGGGGAGCACATCGTACTAACCGTCCTTGATGTAGCCATCGTTCGACTAGCAGAGCCCATCGCTCTTACCTCCATCTTCCCCTATGCTTGGGCCCTCGTCAAGCGTTTCGAGGTTGGAAACGAAGAAGATGCGTCGTTCTACGCGGGCCTCCTCATCTCATCCTTCGCCCTGGCCGAGGCCTTGACGGGTATGTACTGGGGAGGTCTCTCGGACCAGGTCGGGAGAAAGCCCATCCTGCTGCTAGGATGTTTTGGCACCATTATCAGTCTGATCGTGGTCGGATTTGCCTCGAACATCTGGATTGCCCTTCTCGGAAGGGCCTTCGGCGGCCTGCTGAACGGCAATATCGGTGTCATTCAGACCATGGTCGGCGAGCTTGTCACCAAGCCGGAACACGAGCGTAAGTGTCAACCACTTTATGTCTGCTAAGTCTTTATCCTCTTTATTTCTCGACTTCATTAGGCTCTGCACGAAACTAACAAGCCACCGCAACAGCTCGAGCATTCTCTGTTATGCCCTTTGTCTGGACCATCGGTACCATTATCGGGCCTGCCATCGGCGGCACGTTTGCGGACCCGCACAGCGCCTACCCCGACCTTTTCCCCAAAGGCAGCCTCTTCGACCGGCTGCCCTATCTTCTGCCAAACCTCATCTGCGCCGGGCTCTTGCTCTTAAGTGTCATAGTGGGATACTTTCTCCTCGAGGAGACCCATCCCGACATGCAGCCTCGTGTTCTCCTAGCAGACGATACCTATGTGTCGGACGAAACACCGCTGATGGAGACCTCAGATGCTCTGAAACGCCCAGCGGTGGACGTACGAT